ACATTGGGATACACTGTGATTTGAGACAGCATTAATACTTGCTGATCAATTTAATTGCTCACATAAACTTGTGAAATATTTAATTTGATGCCACTGTTCACTCCAGTATTGTATTGGTCATTATATATTATTTAATAGGTCAGTGAATAAATGCATGGATCAGCATTTGAATGTTAAGCATGGTCAAGTCAATTCATCTTTATTTATATGGCACTTTATTCAATACAGATTGTTTCAGCTTTACAGTGATAACAGGAAAATTATGATTCAGTGATACAAACAGTTAAATTCTGCTGTAAAGCAAATCCAAAAAGACAATAGTAAACAGCCATTATTCAGCTGAAGTCAGTTCAGTGTTGATTCAGTTTGGTTTAATAACTGTGTAAAGTTCATTAATTATGAAATGAGCTCATTTAATCTATAAAGCAGCTCAGTTCAGTTCTCACCCAATAGTGTCAGTGCAGTCAAATCAATAATATTGTTGAATATTAAGTGTCCCCAACTAAGAAAGCCAAAGGCTACAGTGGCAAAGAACCCAAACTCCATCAGCTGACAGGAATGGTGAGAAAAGAAATGAACCAACATGGTGTGATTATGATTCCAGATTGTGGATTGGTATCATTCAGAATATCAGAATATTGTTGGTCTGGAATTAATCTTGTTGCATTGAGGGTCCAGGGTGGTTCTAACCTGCAATAAAATAACCTTATTTTAGTAAATGAAAAGCACATCGGCTTAAGAGCGCCGGCACATTTGTGTGCATATTGTTTTGTGGTCTCATAGGTACAGATACAGTAGATACATCTGAGAGCTGTGCGGGAGAGGATATTGCTGCTGTCACTCTCGGACACACTCAGCAAAACATACAAAATGACGCACACTAATGAAATGAAAACTAAAATTGGAGATGTTTCCTAATTATTAGAAGATGCACCCTGCCGCAAGCTATTTCATAAAGAGGAGGGGACAAAATTGGCCGTGGCAAAAAAGTTGTGGGTCCATTTCTTGGTCCCCAAATAACGCCTGTGCTTTAAACTCTCTCTTATTTTAAGCATCAATTCAAGTTCAATTATTTGCATAGCACTTTTCATAATACACAGTGCTTCAAAGCAGCTTTACAGAAAATCATGATTTTAATGTTTATAATATCTTAATATCGTAAACTATATAAGCAATCAAGCAGTTGAAATATGCTGTATAAAATCTTTCTACATTAATGTACTGTATGTATGCAAATAAAGTTGTAATAAAGGTGATAATATAGGTGATATAATTACATTAGCGATGAAATAAAACAAATTCAAAGTTGAGTTTACCGTACGGTATCACTTTATGTGACTGCTGTGGATAAAGTATATACGGTATATGCAGAGCCGGACAGTAACGGAGTACATTTACTTGAGTACAATTTTGAGGGATCTGTACTTTACTCGAGTATCATTTTTGGGGATTACTCATGACTTTACTCAAGTACATGTGAGAGGCAAATATTGTACTCTTTACTGCACTACATTTCTATCCATAACCGTGAGTACCCGTTACCTCTAAAAAAGAAAAATTTAAAAAAAAGGAAAAAAGAGAAATCTCGGAAACCCTCAATTTGTTGTTTCCCTCTCAAGCGTGATTGGATTGTGCAGGCGCCACTGATTGGGACAGCCTATCAGCAAATAACCTTCAGCTCTGAACTGACGCCAAAGTAAACTCCATGGTCAGATTTAGATAAGAGACGAAACCATGGACGAAACAGGTTCAAATGTGGGTGCAAAAAATCCATTAAAACTCTAGCAGAGGTTTGTCAGAGCGTTGCCATTGTGCATTGCCTTGTGGGCAAGTGAGAAATGTTAAATAAAGCAACATGGTAAAAAGATGAAAATGACTTGAATTAACTTTCAATTCCTTTTAGATTTTCAAAGGTATTAACATTTTTCATAACTCCATGTAGGACGTTGCTGTACATAAATGTAGGCACGGTTCGTGTACCCCGAAGTGATAAAATAAAATTCTGTATCAAATTTATAGGCAAAGGCAAGTATTTTGTTTAGGCATGGTTTGTAGGGAATTACAAACCTGCACACATATATTCAAACGCACATAACTATAGAATCAATTCTTAATGTGCATGTGAACGCCATCAGCGTTAATCACAGGTTCAGTTTAAAGTCTGTGTAGAGAGAACGGTGTCGTCTTAGCGGCCCCTAATTTAATAACAAATGATCATTTTGCCGGAAGTGAATCAATCAAAACTAACTTTAGCTGGAAATAACATTATTCAAGAATCGCTATAAAGCCAAAACAATCTCTGTTACCGTAAATTATGTGTATCTCTGTAAAGCCGCTTTGAAACAATCTACATAGTTAAAAGCGCTATATAAATGAAGATGACTTGACACTGTGGCAGTAGTAATGCAATATTTAGAAAATTTACTCTTGTACTCTTGATACTCAAGTACTTTTAAAAACAAGTACTTCAGTACTTTAACTTAAGTAGACATCTGACTGTAGTACTTTTACTTGTACTTGAGTAAAATTTAGCAAGGGGCATCTGTACTTTTACTCAAGTAACAAAGCTGTGTACTCTGCCCACCTCTGGGTATATGTTGAACTTTATATAGAGAGCTTTGCGGCGATAAAACAATTACTAAACAATCACATATCCGAAATTTCCTATTTAATATAGTATAGGATGTCCTATTTATCCAACTGTAACTAAGTTTGTGTTTAGGGAAGAAGAAGACGGGAACCGGTGAACGTTAAACGTAATTTTAAAGACAAAATAATCAAACAACAAAACAAAAAGTAAAGCGTATAAACATTAAACAACCACATTAAATCCAGGCCTGGCCCTCTCCTTTAGTCACTCTTCCTTTCCGTGGGACTCGAGACCGGTGTGACGCTCATAAACACTCGCACCACTCGCAAACACTCGCCCCGCCCTGCTTACCACACCAACTTAAAAAATATCTCTGGCCGTTAATATAGTTTACATTTTTCAGTGATATAACTATCAAGCAGTTTGGATCTGCTGTATAGTACATACTGCCTAACGTGAGTGCACTGTATATATATCCAGGTTGAATATACTTTTTGTAGTATAATTAAGTTGCTAATTATGTGGTGTTATGGTCATGTGGTGATATTGAGAATTATAAAACCTGTAAGGTGTTGTTCAATTTACAACAATTTTGTGTTGTGACAAGCCTAATTACTATTAAGCATACTACTAGAAACACATTTTCCATTTAGTTTTTTGTTATTTTTCATTTTCTTTGTGGAAATCAACAGCGTGACAAATAAGTGGGAGGGGCATCATGATGTTGACGAGCAACCTTTGATGCTTCACATTTATGAACGCACAACCCTTACTATGTGCTTTACCTTCCAGCTTGAAGTTCCCTTGAGCCGTCCAAAATCCCCCACAAACACCTTCACCGAAGCGTTACTCGAGCCAAATGTGACACCACTGCACTGGAGAACATGCTCTCAGGACTCCGACTTCAAGCTCCCCATGATAACTGTGCCTTATCCCATTACTGATGAGGCTGCAAAATGCCTTTGTATGCTTTTATTGCTTAACTGGCAAGTTTCAAGTGTATTTTAAAGGGATGTCTTTTTTTTTCTTACTGTACATATAGAAGATAGCTATTTCTATAACCTTTAAACTAACATGTTGTGACTTTGTTCTATAGAATCCCAAATAGTTGTGCTGAACCATTTAAATGTGCCAAACCAATACTTGCAATAGCTCTCTGTGTTGTGAAGTACACTACCAGTCAAACTTTGGACACACTTTGCTACACTGCTAAATGCTAATTATAAAATCAACCCGTAGCAAATTCATAGGCTTTATCAACTTCTAGACGGTATGAGAAAACTTGTATGAAGTGTCGTCAAAGGCTGTGCGTTTGATTAAATTCATCAGTCGCTTAGCCAAGCTAGCCGTGAGATAACATTTTGTAGATGCTACCATTTGGCTTAGCCAAGCTAGCCGTAAGATAACATTTTGTAGATGCTAACATTTGGCTTAGCCAAGCTAGCCGTAAGATAACATTTTGTAGATGCTAACATTTGCGCTTAGCCAAACTAGCCGTAAGATAACATTTTGTAGATGCTAATATTTGCACTTAGCCAACGTAGTCGTAAGATAACATTTTGTAGATGCTAACATTTGCAGGTACTTGATATCCCATTATCCCCAAAAACTGCGCAAGGCAAAGGAAAACTGACCCAAAAGACAATAAATATGGTTCATGAATATGACTATAGTTTGTTTTCCTAATAGCATTAATGATAATTCAATTTAGAAATCAAATATTGTCAATATTATTTTTCACCATAAGTCAATAATTTTGCATATTGTTGGGTCTGTACAGCTCATGGTAAAATAAATGTTTGATCAACTTACAGTTTGATTGGAAATTGCCCAAAATTCAATATGAAATTAGGGCTAAGAATATTTACTGATATTTTAAATTGCAATTTAAAAGTTGGCCCCTCAGGCAAAAAAATAAAACTGTTTATAAACCATTGGGTTAAAATATAATAGTTTTGATTTGTTTAATATTTTCGGTCAATACAAAATTGGCATGCTTCTTTTTCTGTTATCATCCTGAAATATGGAAAATATAAGTAGTAACAAAGACCGAGTAGGTGTGTCCAAAACTTGTACTGTCTGTAGTTAAATGTACATGTATACATACATCATTGGGGCAAAATTAGACTACACAAAATGCTTCAAAGTTGGTTACAACCACAGTTGAAGTTAAAATTAGACAATGACACTGTACAAAGGCCATAAGTCATAATTCCCTCCTTTTTCAGTCTATTGTGTCTGATTTCAGTCTGAATATGTGACGTCAGTCCCTGCGGGAAGCCATTCTCTGTAGTCGTTTGGGCAGTTCTAATGCACTTTGTACGCAGACAGAAGTGGATGGTTGGAAATACCCTTATTCACCATTAAAGCGTGAGTTTTAAAGGCGCTGTCTGCTTCATTATGTTCTATTCTTGACACATTGTGTGTATTTAAAGAGCAGAAATGTTCGACCAGGGTGGTGGCAATTCAACAAACAGGATGTGACCGTAAAGAAATTCCCTAGAGATAGTGAATGGAAGACAAGGAGGTTTTCTCATGCTCACATCTGACTTAACAATAGCAGCAAATTTCAGACGTTATTTTAGGCCGTCACTAATATGTACAGCGGCCTGTGAGTCACTGCAGATTTGCAGTGGTCAGTTCAAGGCTAAAAAAGCTGTTTTGCTTTCAATAATATTTAACTTGCTGGTTTTAGCCACATCCCACAGTTCCACACAATCTGCTACTGTATTGACTGTGGGAAACGTGATCTCTGTGTGTAACAAGCTCTCTGGAATACTGTATGGCCCATCCTGGGAAACACAAGGTAAGAATGCAGCAGCAGGATTTGTTATTCAGTAATTCAATAAATCTTTTGATAAGTTGGACAAATGTGGGTCACAGGTGTAAACGGTGGCTCATTGCAATATTTTAAGGTCAAACAATATCTTGTTCATGTGTTGTCATGATTTAGAGTCACCGTGTTGGCAGACTCATGCACTATAATGTGGGAAACATGTTCAACATCTCATGTTTAGTTTGTTTTTATTCTTGTTTTTTTGTTGTTGTTTTTTTACAGCAATGAACATATAAATTGTATTCGGGTGAATCTTACAAAACCAGTTAAGAACATGACCGTAATTTAACCCAAAAGAAAAAAATAAGAATTTATATTTTGCACTGAGAAATCAGACTAATTTTGTTTTTATTATTTTATTATATTATTTTCATCACAATTACACACATTTTCCCTACATGTCTTGTTACCGTAAAGTAAAAGTTGAAATTCTTTCTTTCTTTTTTTTATAAAATGTCAATATATACCTTTATATGGATTTTGAAGGGAAAGTGTAGCCTATATTTAGGCCCTATTATATTTTACATGTGTGAATAATAATAATAATATACAGACACGTTCCATATATCACCTTAGCACTTTTTAAGACCTAATATAAAATATTTTAAAATATATATTAAACATATGTACTGAAAAATGATTAAATATATAAATGTATATTTCCATAAGAATATATAATTCAATTAAATGAATTTGATGTATTTAAATAGTCTGAGAAAAGCACCCATATGTTGAACACATTTCACAACACTTTATTGTACGGTACTTTATTTAAGTGTTACTGCAACATTATCAGTGTGTGGCCCATGTTGTAAATAAGGTAAAAAGTTACAACAATTTTATATTTTGTAGCAATTGCAAATATGTTCTCCACCATGTCCTTGCTGTGCAGAACAATGGCCTGACTGTTTCTCTGGCAATATGCATGGCCACATCCTCCAGCTGTGTGTAATCCAAGGTGAGTGTGTCATCTGCTGAGTACAGGTTTGTGTTTATCCGACTACACGACTTTGCTTCCAAGAAAATTAGCTTTAGGATTAAAGTGGCATGTACATCAATACAGAATATTAGAGACTTACGTTATCTGAAGGATTGAACCACATTACAGGGACTCTACTGCATGAACTGAGGATAGATAGATAGATAGATAGATAGATAGATAGATAGATAGATAGATAGATAGATAGATAGATAGATAGATAGATAGATAGATCCATCCAACCATTCATCCATCCATCCATCCATCTATTCATCCATCCAAACAAACATCCATACAAACAAACAAACAAACAAACATCTATCCATCCATATAACCATCCATCCACCCACCCATTCATCTATCTATCCATCCATCCAAACAAACATCCATCCACCTATCCATCCATCCAAACAAACATCCATCCACCTATCCATTCATCCATCCATCCATCCATCCAACTATCCATCCATCCATTCATCCAACTATTCATCCAACCGTCCATCCAAACAAACATCCATCCATCCATCCATTCAACTTTCCATCCATCCATCCAAACATCCATCCATCCATCCATTCAACTTTCCATTCATCCAACCATCCATCCCTCCATCCAACCATCCATCCATCCAAACAAACATCCATCCATCCATCCATTCATCCATCCATCCATCCAAACAAACATCCAACCATCCATCCAACTATCCATCCATCCAACCATCCATCCATCCATCCATCCAAACAAACATCCATCCATCCATTCAACTTTCCATCCATCCATCCAAACAAACATCCATCCATCCATTCAACTTTCCATCCATCCATTCATCCAACCATCCAACCATCCATCCATCCATCCATCCATCCATCCAAACAAACATCCATCCACCTATCCATTCATCCATCCATCCATCCAAACAAACATCCATCCATCCATCCAACTATCCATCCATCCAACCATCCATCCATCCATCCATCCATCCATCCATCCAAACAAACATCCATCCATCCATTCAACTTTCCATCCATCCATCCATCCATCCATCCATCCATCCATCCATCCATCCATCCATCCATCCATCCATCCATCCATCCATCCAACCATTCATCCAAACATCCATCGATCCATCCATCCAACCATTCATCCAAACAAACATCCATCCATCCAAACAAACAAACATCCATCCATCAACAAGGTTATTTTTCTAAAACATAAAACTGAACAGAATTTTTTTTAGAATAAAGTTATACAACACCAAGAATGTGTATCATGTGATGTAATAACCTGTGTCTCTGCTCTTCACAGCTGTAGCCTCTTTTCTCCATCTAGAACCGAAGACTGCCACTGTACTGCGAGGCAGTGAGGTCCACTTTAACTGCAGCACTGATGAATCCTGGGATGTCATGACGTGGCTGTTGGGTGGAAGGACGATCCTCAGCATCTCTGAGGTCCATGGTCTCCTGGGCAGAGATGACAGTGTGTGGACAGTGAATCACTCGCTGTCGGCTGTCTCAGTGTGGGAGTTAGTGCTGATGAACGCCTCTTTCAGCCCCACTGTACAGGAGCTCACATGTGAACTTCTGCCCACCAAACTCAGCAGATCAACAGCGGACCTGTTTGTACAAGGTATGTCATCTTTTGTTGAGCACTTAAAAATAAGCAAGTCTGTCTATCCGTCCATCCGTTCGTCCGTCCATCCATCCAACCAACCATTCATCCATCCATACAAATATCCATCCATCCATCCATACAAACATCCATCCATCCATCCATCCATACAAAACATCCATCCATACAAAACATCCATCCATACAAAACATCCATCCATCCATACAAACATCCATCCATACAAAACATCCATCCATCCATCCATACAAAACATCCATCCATTCATCCAACCATTCATCCATCCATACAAACATCCATCCATCCATCCATACAAACATCCATCCATCCATCCATCCATACAAACATCCATCCATACAAAACATCCATCCTTCCATCCATACAAACATTCATCCATCCATCCATCCATACAAACATCCATCCATCCATCCATACAAGCATCCATCCATCCAACCAACCAACCAACCAACCAACCAGCCAACCATTAATCCATCCATCCATCCATCCATCCATCCATCAATCCAAACATCCGTCCATCTACAAGGTTATTTTTCTAAAATAGAGTTATACCGTAATAAGTCAAGCTGGTAATGCTGTTTGTGGAGTTGTTTATTCTTCCTCTGCTGAGATCTTGAGAGATTTAATGTCCTCTTTTCTCTTCAGTTGATTTCATCTAAGGCTGTGGCTGAAGTCAGTTGTAGTTCTTGTGTTTCTGCTCGTCTCTTTTTCTGTTCTCTTCTTTCCTTCAGTGATTCTGCTTGTTAACAGGCTTATTAAGGCTGAGATTACTCCATATTTAATATACACAGATTATCTGGCTCAGATAAGGTCCAGTTCTGGTTTATTTCTTTGCTCTTGGCTGACATGTGGCATTGCTATGGCCTGCTTGTGGCCCAGATCTGGCAAACAGGAGTGAGCCACCCAAGGACCGTCATTCCACGCTGCACGTGGGCCAGATCATCTTTCCACATGTGCCAGATGTGGGCCGGATCTGGGAAGACACAATGCTGCTATGTGGGTAGTCATGTGGATAATGACACCATTACCTGAAAATTACTTGTGTATCAACAAGAATGAAAATACCTATCGCTAAAAATATGTACAAATCTCCAGCAACTCTTTTGCTCCATAATGATTATGAAATGAAGATATTCTTGTTCACACATTGGCTATGAGTTGATATAAAGGCTAGATCCTTCTGAATGCAGAGAAGCTGTCAGTTTTTATACGAGATGGCTGATTTAGGAGTGAGCATCGACTAAGGTGTTTTTCATGCAGGGGAATTCATTCGCTGCTGGCTGAAGTGAAGACTGCTGCTCTGGCAGATTTGACGGAGCATATGACATTGTCGATGCCAGCAAAGGCTCTTGGGATGGGAATCGATTGGGGACCATTAAAAATACCTTCTGCAAATCCACTCTACCAGGCGGTAAACAGAGACAGAAAGCACTGCTCGACTCTAATCTTAGATTCAGGAGCCATCAGAGCCCATCTGGTCCACACATTTCTCACCCTGAATTGTCATTCTAATGGGAACCACAAATGACAGTCATATTGCTTCTTACTGCTGCAGAAACTGACTAATATTCTCAGTTCTTATAAGGTCTTTAATAAAAATAAATTATTATATGATATTATATTATGAATACACTAGAAAAAGTTTTATTTAAGCTGTAGTTTGTAAAACAAAACAAATGTTAACTAATTTCAGCTAGTTTCTCATTTTATTGATGTGTTGATGTGTCACGTCTGTTCTGGGTTTGAGTTTTGCTTGAGTTGTGTTCTTGTTTGATTGGCACTCTTTCCTGTTCAGATTCCTTTGTCCTTGTTCATTGGTTACCGTGGTTTCTCATGTGTCACACCTGTGTCTAGTTAATAATTAGTCCGTCGTCTTTCTCTGTTAATACATAGCCTTCATTTTCAGCCTTTCTATGTCATGTCTCCTCCTTACTTTGGTGGTTGTTCTGTGCATCTTGTTTTGTTTTCTAGAGGATAAAGCACATTATAAGCATGAAACTTGTGGGAATGAGTAAAGTTTTGTGGAATACCCACAATCCTGTGCTAAAATTCAGGCTCTAAGTAGACAATATATGCATTCATACATTCAGGATTTTTAAATATGTATACACCAATTTTCACCCAGGACAACTGGAAGCTGCTGGGGACTGGAAGATGCTGGCTGATCTTGATCAACGGCTTATTTTTCCACCTAAGATTGCCACCACTAACCTACGACCAGACATTGTTTTGTGGTCCCGATCAGCACGCATTGTTCAACTGATAGAGTTAACAGTGCCATGGGAGGATGCGGTAGATGAGGCATATGAGAGGAAGAAACTGCGGTATGCTCATCTGGCCACTGAAGCAGAACAGCGAGGATGGAGAGTCCAGGTTTATCCAGTGGAAGTGGGTTGTCGAGGTTTTGTGGCACACTCTACAACCCGGTTCCTCAAAGACGTCGGGTTCAGTGGCCAAGAGTTGCGTCGCACAGTAAAGAACTTATCTGAAGCAGCAGAAAGGAGCAGCAACTGGCTGTGGTTGAGACGGAAAGATTCTAGCTGGCTGTGTACAGGCCGCCACGCTACGGTTTCGTAGAATTCTTGAAAACTTGAAGAGTCTGTTGGTTTATTTGGATAGGTTGTATAGTTTTTACAGTCATTACGTTCCTGTGTGTATTGCGTGAATGAAGGGTGGTTGGGCAGATATTGTGTTTTGCGGTAGATGGTATGCCATACGGAACCGTTGTCCACTGAAACTGCCTATTAACGCACCAGTGGGGCTCGACAGCCTTAGTCAACGGGTTGGCGCGTATGGTTGGGTTGCGCAGAGATTGTGAGATTGTGGTTAGGTCTCAGCAGCAGGAGGGATGTAGAGGTCAGTAAGCTGGGCTGAGTTGAGTGGGGGACGGAGGGGGGTGACTCTGGGACGCCAGAGTCACTGTCGAGCCCTCTTGAGGTGTCGTGGGCTAGTCGACGAAACACTGAGGACGGAAGGTGCCCACTTGAAGACCCTAGAGATGTCCCCTACTCGGTAGCGTAAATGGGTGAAGCATAGTTTACTGTAAAGCTACTTCTTAGTGTTGCTTATCTTGGCGAAAGCCGAGTACAAATCAGCATGAAGTTTTAACATCTACTCTAAAAAAATCAAAATAATGACTTATATCTATATATTCAGGATTTACATTGATATTATTCAGAATTATAACTATATATTCAGACTTCATATAATCAGTTTGGCCCTTCATTATATAAACTTCCTTATATATATATATACACACACACACAATCAATTAGTCAGGCCAATTAGTCAATTTGGAAGATATTTGCAAAAATATCTGGCATTGTATCTGGCAGATGATATTTGGCAGGCTTTTTGTTGCTAGGACCCCAAATATCTTAAATGTTTATATTTTTAATAGTATATTTTTGATTTGAATAGTATCTAACAACTGTTTACACTTAGTGGAAAGAAAATACCCTTTGCTGCATTTTTGGCTTAGTGTAAATATCATCTATCGCTAAAAATATAAACATTTAAGATATTTGGGGTCCTTTAAAGTTGAAAAGGGTGTTGTGTAAACAGCCTTTAAGTGTATTGTAGTATGTTATAAAACAAAATATTCTGTGTATATGATATTTATGAGTCCCCCTTTGGTGAAAATCAAGCTTTTAATGTAGGCCTATATATATATGTCATATTTATGTGGTGTTTTTAATGTGCTTAAAGAAAAACCATGTGTCATGTCATGGTCAACACCATGGTCAACACCACAATCATGCCAACACCATTGCTGAGTATTTTCTCCTTAAAACTGCAGTGAAACAAAAGACGGTTCAAAAACACGGTTTGAAATCGCTGGTGTTTCTGACATCACAAACTACCTTGTAACCAATCAGATCAACGTGTGATCGTCAACCAGTGGATCTCTGAGCTGCTGTGAGTGAGTGGAGGCGGGGCTCATTTGCATCTAGAACCGCGTATACTGAATGAGGTGTTGAGTTACAATCAAGCTATTTTAAGGCATAAAAGTGTTATTTTTTCAAGGAAAAAACGTTTAAATATATAATTTGGGTGATCAAAGAGGAGTTTTAAAGTATAAAATTATTGACTACAGGGGGACTTTAAAATCATAAATGGATGCAGCCTTATTGGGACATTACTTGTCCCTCTCCCTAATTTTTTTTGTCAGTTCTTATTCAGAAGGTGCAGGTGTATTTGTTGTCCTGCTCTGAAAGTGTGTAAGATCTAAACTTTTTGCAGTTTAGCTAGCATTTCAAGTACCAGTACACCGGAAATCACCTTTACAAAACCTCTACAAGACCCCTGCAGGAATATTACACAGGTATCACATATGATTTCACATGTGCTTTCATCAGGTAGGAAGAATTAAGATCCTGTAGAACTCCAGGATTTATTTTCATAAGCCTGTCTGTAATGAACTGGCCTATCAGATCTCTTTTAGACAGCTAAAAGTCCTATGTTCCTCAGTATTCCATACATAAAACACCTCAATCTACAGATACATCACCAAATCAATCACTTTTTAAGACCTAACTGGATTTATTCCTCAATAATTAATCTATTCTGTGACTGCAACTAAACCACAGCTCAGCTAAAAGCCAAAGAAATGACCTGAGACCCATTATGGAGTAATCCCATTCATCACTAAGATCACAAATTTGGCTTGGTATATGTCCCTATTAACAGTCGTGTGTGTTTAATAGAGCCGTTCCATGTGGATGTGGGGCAAGTCTGTGACTAACAGTGCTTTGGAATTAATTGGGCATCTTGGCATTCATTTTCAGTTAGCAGTCAGCATCTCTCGCAGTGATTTGTGATACACTGGGTCAGACGTACAGTTGAAGGGCGCCCACAAATCTTCAGGGAACCACAAATCCTCTTCACTTCTTTTATTACAAAAGGCTCCCATTCATTTGCATGTGCTGGACTAAACGCAATAGCGGTTTCTCATCAAGACAAACAGACCGGCCCACGTGTGA